TGCCAGAGGTAGGTTGTACAGAGGACTCAGGAGTCTGAAAGGCAGTGTTGGGTGTGCCCACACACACTCCTGTTAGTATCCAAAGGTGTTGTCATCTCTGTTTCCAAGGCTTTGGATGTATGAGAGCCTCAGCCCCGCGGTGCCGATGCTGTCTGTAAACTACATCGAGGTCTTCTAGTTAATCGCCTGGTTTTGGTCACTCAGGTGTTTAGGTTGTACAGAGGACTCAGGAGTCTGAAAGGCAGTGTTGGGTGTGCCCACACACACTCCTGTTAGTATCCAAAGGTGTTGTCATCTCTGTTTCCAAGGCTTTGGATGTATGAGAGCCTCAGCCCCGCGGTGCCGATGCTGTCTGTAAACTACATCGAGGTCTTCTAGTTAATCGCCTGGTTTTGGTCACTCAGGTGTTTCCATAGTTACTGGGCTTTTTATTTATTTTTTGGGGGGGTGACTCTGATGTTGTCATGGCGATTGTCATGTTGTCAGGCCAGTTTTCATCTCCTGGCAGATGAAGGCTGGGATTTCTTGGCTAGGAAGAATCATGGCATCAGGGCTGCAGAGCTCAGGGTGATACCAAAGGACTGGCAGAGTGAGTGGCACCCTGTTGAGCTATCCAGGGGATGTTTATCCATGCTGCAGACATGAGGCTCATCATGCCTCCCATTAAGCTTGGGAAATGTGCCGAGGAATTGAAGTGAGGGGTCTTCCAGGAGGGATGAAGGCTGGGCAGCCTCTCTCCCAGGAGGAGCAGGCATGGCTTAGCTGTAATGATGAGGAGGGCTCTGTGGGTAGACAAGTGTGGTTATCCTGCCATGACAGGACAAGGGGTGTGGGGAAAGGTGTAAAACTAGGTGTGTGCAAGGTGGATTCCTTCACTGGCTCATCTTCCCAGCCAGCACCACTCTTTCACAACGCAGACATCCTGAGCCAGAGGCTGCATCCAAGTCGTCATCCTTAATGACCCTTGATGGACTTTTCTGCCATAGTTTTGTCTAATTGCTTTTGATTATTGCTGTAGTATGATGGATTCTGGTGTAAGGCTTAAGACAGCGGCTGCCAGGGTAGGAAAACATTATGGTTTGGCTTGATGGTGTATTTACTCGTGAGAGGTCTGATCGAGAGGTCTCTGTAGTGGGAATCCCTCATTAATCTCAGGATTAGGCTGGGGGTTGAAAGCTAGATCCCATGTGGAGTTAGAGTCCTGAGCTGTCATTTGAGGGGCAGGTGCCACCTCAATGCGTCCCAGCAGAGACAGGGGAGATGCTCAGAGGATCCTGACGTTGCCACATCCTGGGTAGCCCCTGTGATCCCTCTGTTTAACCTCCGTGGCCTCCCTGGAAGAGGTACAATAGCATTCCCTTGTCTCCCAGAAGCGACTGGGGGATAAATGCATTCCAGGCGTGAGGCACTCGGACGCAGCAGTAATCACAGCTCGTATATGCACTTAAGATAGATGAGACACAGTGGCCTGATGTGGCAGAGGTCTCATGAGAACATCTGTCTATACAT